TGGGAGGTAATTGGCAGCAGGCGGTCTCTCAAGTACCTGATGAGCATGCAGGTGGGGGAAATGTGTAATGAGTACTCAGGAAATACATCCGGATGTGTGTAGAGAGAAAGTGGAACTTGCAGACTCCTGCTTTAGAAAGCAAGCTGCGCAAAGCGATGTAGGTTGGTTTGGTTTTAGCATAATACACTAAATCAGGCCAACCATTGCAGGTTACGAACCATAGGCTGTTCTTACAATTATTGTGAACCCATTCTTTCAGTAGGTCATAGTTGTCAGGCACGAACAACCAGTTCCGCACATGAAAAGTTCAATGAACTATTTTTCACTGGATGTTTCACAGATAGATGGTTTGCACCTGGGCCAGACCAGATAGGGTCCAACTACATTCAAGGGGTGGTTGGATTTTGCCTTTCTATGCTTACGTAAAGATTCCAGACTAATCTCCCACTTGACTCCTCACCTTGAGTCAGCCAGTCTCACTCCATCATAAGTTACAGGTAGTCATCGACTTAATGACTATTTGTGTGTTGGAATAACAGGCTGAAGGAGAGGGGGCCTTTCTAAGGGGAATAAAAATACATACCAGCTTGGACCCGGTTTAGTGGAAGAAATGTCTGAGGTCAACCCTTAGGTCTCCATCTGCTGTTTCCCAAGAGAAGATAGGCTGTCTGGTGAGATTCTTGTAATAGAGGTGACCAGCAATAAAGCAATAATAATACTTGGGTCTATTCATGGAATGATTTTGGTGGTTTGAGTTACTTGTGTCTGACAATTCACTTAATGACTAAAATTATAATGGTATTGGGGGAAAAATTGGCTTACGACCAATCCTTGCACTTGTTATCATCCCGGCATCCCCATGGTCACATGATCATAATTCGGGCACCTGGCAAGCAAGCCTGTATTTGTGACTATTGCGTAGTCCTGGGGTCATGTGATAATCATTTGTGAGCTTCCCATTTGCTTCCAACAAGCAAAATTGAGGAGCGAAGCTGGATTTGTTTAATGACCACAGGGAAAAAGATTGTACACTTGGACTTTGGATAAATAATGACATTGCTTAGCAACAGACGTTCTTGGTCTAGCTGTGGTCATAAGCCAAGGATCACTTGTGTGGTTTAAAGTGGTGTGCGAAACAAGTCTACATGCTCATAATCTCATGAAGAGCAGATAGGATCAAGATGCATCAAGATGTTAATATCATGCAAAGACCATTCCAGAAACTTGCCTAGCTGGATTTTTGTTTTGATCTTGATTTTTACCTTATCTGCACGGGGACATTATCACCAGCTGGGAAAGAGAACAGATTTTTGTTTCTAAATTATATTCTAGGCATTTTTATTTATAATAATGTTTATTCCTTCGTGACCCGACAAATGCGCGCACGACAAAAGCGCGCCGACAAAACCGCGGTGAGAAAACCGCGACCTCGAAATTGCGCCCACAACAGCACGCCGACAACAGCGCGCCGACAAAAGCGCGATTAGGTTAAGGTAAGGGTTAGGGTTAGGGTTGGGGTTATTACCTTGTTTTCGCATTGTTTGTTGATGGCATGCTTTTGTTGGCGCGCTGTTGTCGGCGCGATTTCGAGGTCGTGGTTTTCTCACCGCGGTTTTGTCGGCACACTTTTGTCGTACGCACATTTATCGGTGAACCAATTCCTTAATGGTAGTTTTGGGTAGTTTGTTGTCCTAGAAACAAAAACTAAGTGTAACAATTTCCGTGTGGAGTCCCTTTGAAAAATTATTTATTTTTCGTGACCACGTAATCTGTTTTTTTTTTTAATTTGGAACGTTTTAAAGTTTGTTTCAAAACATTTAAGAAACAAAATAAATGACCACATACAAGGAAAAGAGAAAAAAGAAAAGAAAAAGTACATAGTAAAAAAATGAAAAGATCTGGTAAAGAAAATGTACGGTTGTCATAAAGTTTAACATTCATTTTCATAGATGAATCCATGAATATGTACAACTTTGTATCATTTTAAGAAATAATTGAAAATCACCACAAAGCTTTAAATATTAATAGGAAATATTGATATTGCCCCTGTTCATCGTGATTCCTAAAAGAAATGCATGTGATCTTAAAAGGAAAAAAATATTTCTTTGCTTTCTCACGCGGCTGCTGCCTCTTCCTCTCGACAGGTATCATGTCTCTGTGGCTCAGCTTCTTGTCTCTTGTGTGGCTGTTGTCCCTCTACCAAGAATTCAACTGTAACACGCCTCAGCTTCACCTTGTTTCTCTTCCTGGGGACATTAGTGTCCATCATCATGATAATTCCAGGAGTCGAAGAAAAGCTGCACAAGGTGAGTAACACACGGATTCCCCCGGGGTTTTTGAAACGAGGCCAAAGGTGCTTCAGAATCTCAAGTGAGCTGACAGTACTGAAAGTAATGTCAACTCTAACACTGACCTGACGGAAGCCATCTTGGAGCTTTCAATGTTGCCACTGAGCTGGAGCTGAGGGATAGGGAGGCACAATTTGAGATAGTTGGGACTTTGTAGCGCAAAATCAAATACTGTATTTTTCGGAGGATAAGAGGCTAAAATGTGGGTGCGTCTTATACTCTGAATGTAGCTTTTTCAAAGCTTTTTTTTCAGCCCTAATGAGGCGCTAGCGATCTTCCATGCTTTGCCTGCTTTTCTCATTGTTGCTCCCTCCAACGATCAGCTGTGCTCTAGAAGCTGTTTTTCAGCCCTAATCAGGCGCTAGTGAGTGAAGCATCTTTGGGGGTTCCCCTGCTTTCCTCATTGCTTCACTCTTGACAATCAGCTGTGCTTTAGAAGCTGTTTTTCAGCCCTAATCAGGCGCTAGTGAGTGAAGCATCTTTGGGGGTTCCCCTGCTTTCCTCATTGCTTCACTCTTAACGATCAGCTGTGCTTTAGAAGCTGTTTTTCAGCCCTAATCAGGCGCTAGTGAGTGAAGCATCTTTGGGGGTTCCCCTGCTTTCCTCATTGTTTCACTCTTGACAATCAGCTGTGCTTTAGAAGCTGTTTTTTATCCCCTACAAAGGGATAAAAAGCACACAAGTGCTAAAAACCAGCAAACTTATGTGCTGAAGCTGACCAGACTAAGGATGCTAGCCAGATGAATACCTGGTAGGCAGAATTTCCACCCCCCCCACTATTTTCCTCCCCAAAAACTAAGGTGTGTCTTATACTCCAGTGCGTCTTATACTCCAAAAATATGGTACTTTCCCTTGGGAACCAAGGGCATTCTCACACCTGGTCAGTGGAAGGAGGAGTGATGTCACTAGGCAACCAGATGGAGCCGTGATTGGACCGTGTGACTGATTGTTTTGAGAAAATGAAAAACTTTTTCATTAGGTGAAAACCGTGGGAACCTTCAGGGTTTTCACCAGATCTGTGCCAATATGATATATCCAATAAAGCTATTCTTTGAGGAATCTACTTGCTTCTGAGTTTTGCTTGCTATGGGTCTATTACTTGGAACCCTGACAAGTAATTTTTGCAATTATTGTAATTGTTAGGGGTGTGTGAGACCTTTTGACTTTGTAGCAGACTTTGTTACAAGTTTGAGATGGATTGGTCTAATGTTATTGGATGGTTCTAACACTCTTTTGATATTCTGGAAACATTTGAACTCCAGGCAACTCCAAAATATTTCCAGAACTCTTTTGGAAGAGTGGCTATATTGGGATACTTCCAAAATTGACCATAATGATTTATCTCCCCACCCTCATACATGTATACATGTTATTTGTTAAACTAATTCATATGGCTCTCTCCTTATGCCATTAATAAGTATTTGGGGGCTTTAGAAAACTCACAATAAATACACAAATTTCCTCTTGGTCCTTTAACCTTCCAATTAACAAGAGTGAAAATTTGCAAAGAGCTCAATTTGTGGTATATTTCTTCTTTAAATTGTTTGCATAATGTCTTCCTTCCACATCTCACACTTGCTGTGTTTAAAGAGCTTTTTCTGGTGGTCTTTTTGTGCTACCTTTGTTGACAAATCAGTGGGTGGAGGGTGCTACTCCTGATTGGTTTCTGTTGGATGTTTCTTCATCACCCCATAGCTTTCCTGGTTGCTCAGATTTCCAGGTTGGGAAAACGCCCAAGGGAAGTGTTTCATCCTGAGTTTGGAACTGAACAGAAAAATAACATGCCGTGGAAGATAGAAAGATAATGGTGTCATTGGCCTCCTCACCTCCACCAAAGGCAACAGTTTCCCCATGTTTCTTTAACAAGATTTATTGAAAGGGGAAATAGAGTATGAGTGGTGTGGTGGCCTAGAGATAAAGACTCTTGTTTCAGACTCAGAAGGTTGAGAATTTAATCCTAGGCAGGGACAGATGATTCTTTATCAGGGCGCAAAGAGAAAATATCTGCTGTGAACTCCACATAGGCATCAGGAAGGGCATCTTGCCAGTAAATGCTCAACTCCATTCAGTTACCCCAACTCCATCTCGATAAAAGGGATTACAGTAAAAGAAAAAAAGTTTATCCTTTTCTTCATAAAAAGGAAAAAACAAAAACAAAGGGGGAGAGGATGAGGTTACAAAAAATCCCAGCAACTAGATTGTTTCCCCTATTTAGGATTCAGTTTAGCCCATGGATTCATAAGAGGGAGACTTTTCTCAGTCTCTGGCTCATATGAATGTGTAAAGAAGTTCTTTTCTTAATTTGATTAACTTTAATTTTCTCTTAAGTCGAGCCATGAGTGTCTGTTTAGAATGTGAATCTCTTCCCAAACATGCCATTATATGGTCCATACACAACACGGGGAATTTCATCAACATTATATTCTTGCCCTTTGCAAACTATTGCATCAATAGGTTTGTTTTTTCCCCCCTTGTTCAATTGAAAAATAATGCTGAGAAACAGGCAGGGAAATAATCAGTAATTGTTGCATTAAAGATGAGGGCTTTTCTAAAGCTGTCTTTTTCCTTTGACCAGCTTCCTGGATTCTGCGAAGGAAGCAGTTCACCTGTCGGCATCAAGGTTGACTGTAAGGCCTTCCTGGGACTCAAATCGGTGTACCGCATGTGTTTTGCCACAGCTTCGTTCTTCTTCTTCTTCGCCCTGCTGATGCTCTGTGTCAGGAGCAGCAAGGATCCCCGAGCCTCAATACAGAACGGGTGAGGCCCTTCGTTCAGCTGATGCTATTCGTGCTCATGTTTTATCCTGTCCAAGACAGCAAAAAAACCAGCTCAGGAAATCCGGGGGTTAATTCTGGGAACCTTCCTTTCATTCAACTTGCAGTTTCACTTCGGGTGTTTGTGTATCTGTGACTAAAAGACAAATGAAGCTGCAGAAGCAATATTGATTTTGACCAGGGGTGGGATTGAACAATTTTAGCAACCAGTTTTCTGCCTGGTTGCTGGGTGGGCATGGCCATGGGGGCGTGGCATAGTTAGCTTCCTGCACCATAGCAGGGGGTGGCGTTTTCGCCCGCCCCAGGCTCCAGAGGATTTCCTTGAGCCTCCAGGAGGACAAAAACCGCCTCCCCCCGGACTCCGGAGGCTGTGTGGATGCTGGAAATGGGCCTGTTTCCAGAATTCCAGTGTGACCCAACAAAAGGGCGAACGACAAAACCGCGCCCAACTAAACCGTGGTGCTGACGTTATCAACAGGGCAACAACAGCGCAGAGACCGAAGCCCCCTGTA